TGCACCATACACTCCCCCCCACCCCCCACCCCCCACATGTGCACACATGCGCCCTCAGCCAGGCACTCGGTCTCCCTGCCGTGGCTCTCCTGCTTCTCCCAGCCGCTCTCCTGCTTCTCCCAGCCACCCCCCCCCCATATCAGCTTCCTCAGATTAGGGGATGGACACACACCACAGTCCCAGGCCACCCGCCGCACTGCGGAGGCCCCCCCCCCCACCAATTCAGGCCTGGAAGGAGAAAGAGAGGTCATCTGGTGTTCATCCCATAGCCTGGACCTATCCTCACCCGGCCAGGGAAGCAGAGGGGTTTCAACACCCCCAGACACAAACGCCAGCTCTCAGACACACCCAGACACGAATGCATACAGTCAGACACAACCTGGGCCACACGATCCCCGGCAGACGGTGCTGGCAGGACCTGACAGAGCCAGGAGCTCACACACGCGCACACGCACACATACGATGGAGCGTGCAACCGCACCAGGGCAGGCAGAGATGCCGAGGGCCGGTCGGTGTCCCACGGACCCCGCACACAAAGACACGCCAACATACGCCACAGACCCCGCGGCCCCAGGCGGCCCCGCGCACACGCTCAACCAGCGGCACAACCAGATGGACGGGCCGGGTCCCGCGGACGTGGCCCCGGAGCGCAGGGGTCCCGGAGCCCCCGCCCCCCGCAGACACCCGATGTCACTGGACCCACAGTGTCGCACACACACGCACGGCCCGGCCGGCCCGAGCACCTACCCCCATCTTGGCGGCTCCGGGGGAGAGGGGCGGGCGGGCGGGGCGGGGGCCGGGGGCAGAGGCCTCAGGGCGGGCTCAGGCGCGGGCTTGGGCTGGGGGGCCTCTGCAGCGCCCGCGCCTCGGTCCGCGCGTCCGTCCTGCCGGCAGCCCTCCCGCACAGAGTCTGCGGCGGCCGCCGCCTCCGCCTCCTCATATGCCCGCGCCCGCGGGGGGGCCGGCGCCGGCCAATCAGGAGCGCCGCCGCCCTGACGGACTGCCCGCGGCCCCGCCCCCGGTACTGCAGCTGTCCTCCCCGCCCCCCAGCCTCCGCAAAGTGGCGGCATGGCCGAGAAGGGGGAGCGCTGCAGAAGGGGGGATCCCGGAGACCCCGCAATGAGGAACCTGGAGACCCTCGCAGTGGGGCGCTGAGGGAGGGAGCGCCCTGAAAAATCCCCTCACTGTGGGGGTGTTGCCAGAGGGAGAGGGGTGCGCTGGGGGAGGTGGACACCTGGTGGGGGGAAAGCCCCTTAAACCACCAACAATAAGGCGGGGGACACAGCGGACGGGTGGAGGGGCTGGAGACCTTGTGGGGGTGTCGTTCAGGAGGGGGAGCTGGAGGGAGCCTAAGAGGCAAGGAAGATCCTACAGTTAGGAGGGATGCTGCAGAGGGGAAATGAGCCTTGAGCCCCCTCACTAGTGTGCCCCCCCACACAATGGCAGTTATACAGGGAGACACAACTGCGAGGGTACACAGAAGACACATCACAGCCTCACACTCACACACAAGCATCACCCAGATAGCCGAGGTGGGGAGGACTCACACATCCACCACCCCATCACACACCAGCACAGTTTTACCATCACATTCCAGAACACACCAGCGTGGATCCTCACACACATACTACACTAGCCCATCACATAACCCCAGAGATTCACCAGCATGTAGAAATAAAAGGCACCCCCCCACACACCACAACAGAATTACAATTGCTGTCATAAACGGCCATGTAGACTGGCTCACACCCTCCGAACACTACATCACAGACATGCACATCACACACTCCACCGCACCTGGCCTTGTACCATTTCACATAGAGACCCACAACCATGCAGCCCGTAAACCCACAGACCAACACTTATTCACACTAGGCACCATCACACACGCACAGGCCTCACACTCCCTCACACACCCCATGAGCCTTTGTGGTCCCTGCTGCAGTCACACAACAGCACACACATAACCACACACACTCCTCCCCAGGGAGCAGAAGTCCACAGGGCACAATTGCCAAAGCGTCACTAATTGTGAATGACAGACAAAAAGGTGCACGCGCACTAACACACAGAACAATAATTCACAGAAACAGATCTCACGACACTGTCCCCCACACTTCCCACACTGCACACATCACGTATTGCAGTGCTAGACACTTTGCTGCACCTGCAAACACGCCCCAGTGCCCCCACCCACATGCCATGCACACCCCAGGCCTGCCACATACACACCACACCCCATCCGCCACCCATCGAAGCCTGAGCAGTCACAGTCTCTCACCCCCACTCTTTGCTGAGGAACACCTCAGACTTTCCCTGGGGATTATAGAAAGGGCAGAGGGCAAGTGAAATCCTGTCCCTCTAACTTCCTCAGAATGTGGGTATCCTCCCCACCTGTGGGAGTGGAGGCGTGGGGGGGGACACAGACAAGGGGCACAGAGTGAGCCTGGTGTGCATGGGGGGGTGGGTGGTGAAGGTTAAGGGCCTGATTAGGGAAATATGTGAAAGGCTAAAAGCCAGAATGACACACACACACACACAAAATGATAAACAGAGAGGAGACAGAGATTCAAAGCTGAAGAGAGACAAACATGGACAAGGAGACAGGACCCGGGAGTAAAGGGGGGCAGGCAGTCAGCTTCCCTGGCTTTCCCCAGCACCCAGAGCCTTGGCCCAATCCTGTACTCTGACCCATACCCATCCCTCCCTGCTGTCCCTTGTTGCCATGGTAATAGGGAGGCCGAATATGCAGCAAAGGAGGCTGGGCCTGCAGACCTGGCCTGTCTCCATGGAGACTGGGGAAGGGAGGGGGGGGAGCCACATTTTCTAGCCCAGGTGGTTGGCCCCCAGATCCCCTCTGCAATTCTGCCCCCTTCCTGGGGGTGTGTGTGGTGGGGGGAGGATCTGTCAACATATTTTCTCTCCCCCCCCACACACTTTGTCTGTTTCTGGCAGGGATGGGCCTGGACCACGGGCAAGGGGGCTGGGGGGACAGAGATGCCTAAAGGTGTTTGGATCCTAGGAGATTTAGGCTCTCTCTCTCCCTGTTCTCCAGTTTGGCTGGGGGAGACCTCGGCCCCCCACACGACACCCCAGATACAGGCTTATGTCCCCCTTTATGCACTCCCTCCTCAACACGAGCCTGGAGAGACTGATGACTGTGCACCGTGCTCCCAGCGCGAGGCTCTGCGGAAGTTGGGGGGGAGGAGGGAAGACTTAGGAAGGTCACAGGGATGGACAGGGACAGGGGAGCTCGGTGAGAGAGACATAAGGAGAGACTCAGGAGGAGAAATGGACACAGTTCAGAACCAGGTAGAGGCAGATACAAACAGACTGACAAAGACAGAGAGACAAGCAAAGACAGATGAGAAAACAGATGGGGGGAAGCAACAGAATTACTCGGTGAAGGGGAGAGAGAGCCACAGGGACATAGAGAGCCAGAGAGAGACACATTTGGCAAACTGGGGAGACTCAGAGATAAAGACCAGGGAGATACTTGGAGCAGAAACAGGGAGGGGTGGGGAGACCCGGAAATGGGGAGAGACCTCATAGATCAGCTGCATGGTATGGGGACAGAGAGCTGGAGAGACCAGAAATGTCTGCAATCATATTCTAGTCACCTCAACAGACTGAGAGTCCGGCCCAAGGGCAGAGACATTGATTAAAGTCTGTGCAATAGATGTGTGGACAACAGAGACCCTGAGACAAGCTCGCCCCCCACACCTGTCCTCGAGGGGCACACACACACACAGCAAGAGCCAGAGACACAGAAGGGGCCGGGTGGAGACTGGGGGTGCTGTGTACCAGGCGGGGTCTCCTGGATGTGGCCCGCCCAAGCACCGCGAAGGCAGGCCGGCCCCGCAAGGGAGACGGGGCAGGGCGCGCCAGTCCCCATCAGGCCGGTGCTGAACGGACAGCTCCCGGGGTCCGGCAGCCTGCCCGAGGGGAGGGCCCAGCCTCCCGTCTCCCAGCCCGGTCCCACTCTTTCTGGCATTCCTCAGCGCTCCGGCCCCCTCCCCTCTCCATCTAGTTTTCTTTGGCTTCCCATCTCTAGGCTGCCTCTGTCGCACCTCGATCTCTGCTTCTCTCAGCCCCAATTCCCCGGAGTCTCTTAACTTCCCTGCTTCATCTGTCTCCCTGCCTGTCTCAGTCTCTTGTCCCCTTCTCCATTCCATCTCACCTAATCACGGTGTCTCCCTCTGCCTCTCCCCCTCCCCCTCGCCCCCCTCCTAGTCTCTCCCCATCTCTCTCTCTCCCCCACCCCTGCCCCATCTCTTCCTCTCTCTCCCCATCTCTGTCTCCCCCTTCTACTCGGCCTCGTTATGGCTCTCGCTGTATGACCTTCACTCGTCCTTTCTCAGCTGCAGTTTCCAGTGGAAACCTCCGGCGGGGCGGGGGAAGGCGGGGACAGAAAGCAGACCCACCCCTCTCCCTGCTCAACCAGCCCTGCAGCCACCCCCCCCACCCCACCCCCACCCCCGCACTGGGATTTCCCACTTCCTCTCTTGGGGGCTGGGGAGGCACTTTCAGCAGAAACACGGGGTCACACTCACAGAGTTGAGGACGGCCTCACGGGCGCACATACACACACATGCCCACAATTAAAAAGTCACCAAATCACCCTGGCCCCAGCACACACTTGTCAAGGTGTGGCCGCCCCAGGCACCGCCACACTAAGCAGTTCACTCACCCTCCCCTCCCCCCAACCCCATCTGGTTTCTGTCTTTCTGTGTCTCTGTTCCCTGGTGTCTCCGCCTCTCCAGATCCCTGCATCTTTCTCCATCTGTCTCAGGGTCCCTGTCACAGTCTCCCTCTGTCCTGAGAGAAGGTCAGTGAGAGGAGCCAGCTGCCAGGACCTGGGCTGACCTGCTGCCTAAGGGCAGGGCCCAAGGGTGGAGAGAGTCCAGGAGTGACCATCCCGTGTGTGGTTCTCAGCAGACTCTCTGGGGAGCCCAAGCCTTTAATGCCCTCACACCCCCAGGAAATGAGACCCAGGTATCCCCAGTTTTGGGGTTTTGTTCTTTTTTTTATTCCAACAGGGACTGGGATGTGGCAGGGGGAGGGATGGGGGCCCAACTGACCTCCTCCCTGGGGGGGTCTCATAGAAATTCCGAGGTTTCTCCCCAAAAAAAAGAGAGAAAGAGAAGAGTTGAGGGGCGCGGGGCGCCAGGGGACACCCATCTGCCCAGAGGCCCTCCCCTCCTCCAGAAGTGGGGAGGGCTTGTGTCAAGTCTTGGGGAGCCTGAGCAGTCCCAGGATGGGGCTCTCCTCGCGGACTGCTTTCCGCTTCTGGAACGGCCCCGCAATCCCCGGCCCCCTGAAGTCCTCGGTTCCTGCGCTCTCGTCCGCAGTCGGGGGTGGAGTGCAGGGTCCGCGGCACCCTCTGATGAGTCCACTAGGGGGCGCAGGCAGGCTCCGGAGCCGGGCCTCGGACTTCACCGTGAGCCGAAGGCAAAATCGCAGCGTCCGGCGCACCGGGGGCCCAAGTCCCGTCCCTTGTCCACTGGGGAAGCGGGGGCGGCCCGGGCCTGGGGCGGGCCCCGTCCCTGCCATCAGTCCGGCCGCCAGCCCGGCTCCGCCCGTGGTCACTCGTGCTCGGCCAGCTCGCGGGGGCCCGCGGGGCCGGGCCGCGGCCGGGGCGGACTGGTGGCTTCGGCGGGGGCGCCCAGGCCACGCGGGGGCGCGCCGGCCCCGGACGCCCGCAGCGCCTGGATGCGCCGGCACTCCTGGCAGACGCGCACGTGGGTGCAGGGCGTGGGGGCGGAGGGCCGGGCCCCGCCGGGCGGCCCGGGGTCGTCCAGGAGGCGCTGGGGGCCCCCGTGCGCGCCGCCCGAATCCCCGCCCGCGCCGGCCGAGTAGAGCTTGCCGTTGCTGAGGCGCATCTCGCGGACCGCGCGCAGCGACAGCAGGGCCCGGCTCGGGCCGCCCGGGCGCCGGCGCCGACGGGAACGCGACGTCTTGCGGCAAGACACCGCGTGCCGCAGCTCCTGCAGCATCTCCTGGCACACCGACACCTGTGGGCGGCGCGGGGCGGGGCGCGGTGGTCACCGGCCGACCCGCGAGGAGAGCGCCCTCCTCGCCGCCGCCCCCTCGCCCGGCTTCTGCGTCTTCTCTCCCCTCCCGGCCTCCCCCAGCTCCACTCCTCCTCTCCGTTCCTCTCTCAGCCTCTGCTCTTCCCGGGCTCTGCCTGTCTCACCTCTCGGCCTCGCCTCTCCACTCCTGTCTCTCCGCTTCTCTGTCCCCTTCCGTTCTCCGGGGTTCCCCCCGAGTCCGCCCTCACCTCCTATCTAGGCTCCTCTCTTTCCCTCTCTTATCACTCCCCAGTCTGACTACCTCCTGCTTGTCTTCCATCTTCTGCCTCTCATTCATGCTACCATGATTGCAAGACATTTACTGAGCGCCTGCTGTATGCAGAGAACAAAACAGACGGAAGTCCCTGCCCTCATGGAAGTTGATTTCCAGCGTGCAGAGACAAAAATAAATAAATAACAAAGCTGTAAATGTAGGTAGCAGGTTAGCCGGTGATGAGTGCTTTGGAGAAAAATCAAATCGGGAAGAGAGGTGGGGTGATGCTGCATCTAGAGTAGGGACGTCAGGGAACACTCCTGGCGAAGAGGAGCTTCATTGCAACTGAAAGGCAGTGCTGGGTGAGCCCTGGAGCCTGGGAGGAGAGCAGGCAAATGCCTGAGCCGGACAGAGGTGCTGGGGGGTGGGGGGAACCACCAGCAGGGCAGGGGGGCTGGAATGGGGGACTCAGGGGGACAGAGGAAGAGGAGGTCAGAGGAGCACTGAGGCCCCAAGACTGCTGTAAGGCTTTGGCTTTTATTCCCAATCAGGTGGGGGGCACTGGGGAGCTTTGAGGACTGCGGTACTTCCACTGTGTTGAGAACAGACTAGGGAGGCTGAGGGCAAGCGGAGTGGCAGTGGCCAAGCAGGTGAGAAGGGGCTGGATTCTGGGTATGTTTTGAAGGTGGAGCCAACAGGACTGGCTGAGAGCGAGGGGAGAGTGAAGGGTAATCCCATCTTGGCCTGAGCAACGGGATGATGGTGGTGTCTGGTGCATGGGCAGGAGCTCTGCATTGGCCACGTGATGTTCCGTGGGTTATCTGTCAGACATCCACGGGGAGGTGTGGAGTATGGGGCTGAGTGTACAAAGCTTGGGTCTGGGGAGAGGTCCCTGTGAGGGAGGCGCCTGGGGGGGGGTTAAGGCAGGCGGCCTCCAGGGTCCTGCTGTCCAGTGTTCCCGCCACCCCCCCCCGTAATCCCTTCTGCCTTTGTATCAGGGCTGCTGTGTGACCCTCAGAATACAGCTAGTCAGCTGACTAGTCAGCTGATGTTTTGGCCTCTGCCGGGTTCACCCTTGGATCACTCTCTCTGGGGGAAGTCAGCTGCCACGGTGTGAGGACACCCAAGAAGCCCTATGGAGAAGGTCCCTGTGTGAGGGCTAGAGGCCTCCCGTCAACTGCCAGGGGAGTGTGTGTTCCTCCTGTTCTTTACTCTACCTCAGGATGTTCTGACATCTTAAGAACCTTGCTGGCCAGGGAGAGACTGGCCCTCCCAGAGCTAGACAATTCTTAGGGAGAGCGAAGGGCTGGGAGCCCACCTTTCATATACAAACCAGCCAATCCCAATACCTCCCCCCTCCCCACTCACTTAACCTACCTCTCACGCCCAGCTGCCCTGAATCACCCAGGACCAGGTCCATACCACTAGAGACCACCCCTCTAGCCCAGAGCCCATCAACATTATCCACACTGGCCAATTCTGAGCTGCTTTCCCTGCCAGCCCTGCCTTTTCGTGCAGAAACCCCAGTGAGGTCCAAGGCCTAGGCTTTCCCCCAGCTCCAGCTCCCGACAAAGCCCGGTGCTTCCCCTGCGGCCCGGTGCTGTGTGGCATGACCCCTCCTGGGAAGCGTAAGTGATACAAATCTCCTTTCAATAGCACTGGCCTCTCTGTGTCATCACTTAGTCACCATAAATCAAAATCCTGCAAGTGCATCTGGAGATGGTACGCCACCTTGGAAGCAGACCCTCTGGCCCCAGGCAAGCCTTCGGCCAACGGCATTCCCATGACCTCCCTAGCGACCCTGGTAGCCAGAACCACCCAGCTAAGCTGTTCCCAGATTTCTGACCCATAGAAACTATAAACTGACGTAAGTGTGCTGTTTGAAGCTGCTAAATTTTAGGGTGTTATATGGTAATAAATAATACAGGTCATACAGCACATCGATGGCCTCACAAACCATTTGGCTGGATGGGATCCCCAAGGGGCTGGAGAAAGCCAGAGAAGGGTCCAGGAAGGAGCCCGAGAGCCCCTTGACAAAGGACTGGCCACAGAGGAAGGGGAAAAGTGAGGCATGAGCCCTGAAGAGAGGGTTTTGAGGACAGTGATCAGCTGTGCTGAAGCCTACTGCCACCTCACATATGGTGAGGCCTGAAACCTGGGCAGTCTGGGACGTGGGTCGCTGGGGACGAGTGGCTTCAATGCGGGGGTGGGGACGACAGCTGGATGGGCGTTCGTTCAAGAGTGAATGCAGAGGGGGAACTGAAGCAGCAGGGAGACATACTCTTTCCAGGTTGTAAGGTTAGGGGAGAAGTGGAGTGGTGTCTGGGAGGGGAAGCGGGGTCAAGAGATAATTCTGGAAGATGGGGGAGATGACAGCACATTTGTACGCGGACAGCCCTGATCCAACACAGAGGAGGAAACTGCCGATGCGGGGAGGGATGTCCTTGGGAGGGCAGGAGAGGAGATGGGGGCACAGGGGAGGGCGCCTCAGCCGGGAGTAACTGGCCGGGTTGTGGAGAAAGCAGATGTGGAGAGGCCTGCGTGCTCTCCTCAGACTCCTCTAGGTGGAAGCAAGGTCATCAGCCCAGGTGAGGAGGGGGAGGGGCTGGGGACTTGGGGGGAGGGGAGGTGGAGCTCACAGGGCCAGCGTGGGGCTGGGAATGGAGGAGTGTCACTGGGCAGCAGCTGAGACAGCTGAGCACCTGTCGTCTTCCAGCCCCACCCACCTCTCATTTCTCCTTGCTTCACCCCCGCCCCTCCCCCATCCTCTTTCCTCCTTTCCCCTTCACCCTCACCTCTGTCCCTGCTGCTTTCCCTCCTCTGGCCTTCCTCACACTTGGCTCCCCTCTCCCTTCTGTCTGCACCCACCTCCTCTTGAACCCCCTGTGGTTCCGCCCCGGGGGGTCTCTCAGGTCCTGTCCCCTCCCCGCTCCCAGCTCCTCGCTGCCTCTGACATTCCTCCAGGAAGGCTACCGAGGCCACGATCTCCATGCCCCTCCGCTGCGGGCACCCCAGTTCTCCCCCACCCCCTTCGCCAACCCCCTCACCTCTTCGGACTCCGCCGACCTCCGCGTGGACCAAATGAATTCCATGACCGCCACAAAGACAGCAATGATGAGGCCACAGATGAGCACGACAAAAATGCCACCAATGTTCTCCATGCCCAAACCTGGGGGTGCAGGGGGAGAGCCACGGGGTCGGGGCTGTGTGGGCACGGGGGCTGCAGGGGGCTTCGGGAATGGTGCGGTGTGCGGGGCAGCTGACCTTTAGCGCGATGATCCTCCTCCTTGGGGCACCGGCCCCCCTCCCACCACTTGCGCTTCAGGATCTCCAGCCGGTTGTTCTCCTGAAGCTGCAGGATGGCCAAAGTGATCTCATCCCGGAATGGGGAGCCTGGACCAGACACACAAGGGATGGACTGGCCATTGGGGCCCTGGAGCGCTGCCCACCCAAACCCCCACTGTGCCCTCAGCACGGCCCCTTCCTCCTGCCTCCACCACATCCCCGGGTCCTCTGTCCACCTTCGAGTCTGACCACCGCTTGCCTTGACCTCCCCTGCGACCGCCCTGGGCCAAGCCCCCACTACACTGCATGTCACATTTGTCACGGTCCCCTCCCTGCAGCTCTCCTCACCACCCACCCAGGCTCTTCCTAACACAGCAGCCAGAGGGACAACTTCAGAAACAGAGTTCTAGATCTCATCTCTCTGGTGCTCAAAATTCTCCAGTGGCTTCTGGATGCAGAGAGAACCCGGTCCTCCTTCCCTCAGCCTAGAGATCCTGTGTTCACTCGCCCCACCACCTGGGGCTCCTGCTCCGCCAGCTGCTCGCAGGCTCGCAGCTCCAGCCACACCAGCGTCCGGGCTGTTCCTCGAGTCCTCCAGACACAATCCCACCTTAGGACTTCTGCCTGGAATGTTTCTTCCCTCACGGTCACTCAGGGCTCTACTCACATGGTACCTCAAGGGGTCTCCTCTGATCAACTTCCCTTAAAATGGCACCAAGCCCCCCGCCCCGCCGCCATCAGTCTCATCCCCTGAATTTACTTCGGAGCAGTTGTGACCACCTGGTATCGCTTAATAACGCCCCGTGTGTTTATTGTCTACCTACTGCCTGTGCCCCGTGTTTATTGTCTACCTACTGCCTGTGCCCCCCCAGCAGGCTGGGGGCTCGGCAGCTCCCTGCTGTGGGATCCCAGCATGCAGCACTGTGCCTGGCACGCAGCAGGGCATCCGACAGTCTGCTCAGTGAATGAATCTCCTCTGCCTGGCCTCAACCCCTGACCCCCCTCTCTCCTCCTTACCCTTGGATCCTCGCCTTAAAGCACCCTTAGGTTCCAAACACCCCACACATGTCCTATCCCGGACTCATTTCTTCATTTGCTATGACCCTTATTAAGCACCTGCCAGGGGCCAGGAACCAGGGATATGGGCGAGTGGAGGCATTAGTATTTATCAGGCACCCACTATGTGCCAGATCCTTGGTTTACAGACATTAATTCAAGTCTCTCCTGATCCTGGTTATTACCAGGTGTTACCGCCCCCATCCTCTGGATGAGGCAGGTGGCATTCTTGCCTAAGGTCATGCAGAGTCAGGGAGGGACCTGGGATGTGAATGCAGGTCAGTGTGACTCCAGAGCCTGCCCCCCAAAGCACCGGGCTACACTACTTCCCTGGCCCAGCACTGAGATAAGCCCAAAGCTGCTAAGATTTGAGGTAATTCGTTACACAGTAACAGATAACTAACATGGCAGTCAGCAGCAGAGACATGGATTTAAAAGCCAAGATGTCAAGATCTGGTGATAAAATTGGTGGGTTTCCAGCACTGGGCCCCAGAAAAGCATGTCCAAGTCTCCCTGGCAGATCCATCCATTCCTCCCTCAGACCTCCCTCCCTCTGTCCATCATCCATATTCTCAGCACTGCACTGAGCCAGGCTGTGGGTGCCATGCAGAGAACATGAGGCACATAAAACCAGGTCTTCACCCTCAAGGAGTCCTCAGGCCAAAGGGGAAGGTGGCAAGTGTCATGGCCCATAAGTACTGGGTTGTACCCAGTCTCCCTGGGTTCTCCCAGCGGCGACGTAGGGCCGGAACTGACTGCTGCTAGACCTGTGTTTGCAGGTCGAGTGTGGAGGTTCAGGATGGTGACATGCAGCCAGGAGGCCGCGCATGACACGCACGACATACCTGGCCTGCCACAGGGAGGGCCTGGCCCAGTCCCCGGCCTGCCCACGTGGCCTGGTTCTGGCTGCCCCCCTCCGCAACCCCCCAGCCCCACTCCTCCATACCCAGTGGCATGCCAATGCCGTAGCCCTTGGTGTCGAGGAGGCCCCCGATCTGGGTGAGGTTGCAGTTGAGCCGCCGGTGGTACTCGTTCATGGTGGACTCGAGCAGGAAGGCGTAGCGGGAGTTGAGAACACGGGCGATGCCTTCTTCCGTGCTCTTGACAAACACACTGGGTTGCTTTGACTGCATGTAGTTCCACATACGCTGGTATGTCTGGTACCGCGAATTCTGACCAGAGGGGGCGCAAGGGGAAGTCAGGTGAGGGTCTTTCCCCTCAGCCCTGTCCCCTGCCCTCCAGGAAGTTTCTCTCAACCAGAGAGCAAGTGAGGAGACCAGAGGGAGACAGAAAGAGCCAAACGCAGAGAGGGACGAGACAGACAGACTGCTCAAGGCCAGGTCCAAGGTATCCACATGCCCACCAGCCCAGCAAGGACTCTGAGGACCAAAGGCTTGGGAAGAAGGGGCCATGGCGGTCTATTCTCCAGCCTGTCCTCTCTTCCACCCATGGTCCTGGCTTGGCCTGACACCCAGCCCTGTCTTCCCAGCATTCCCAGGCCTTATACGCAGAAGCTCAACCCCAAATTTACCCAGGGCCCAGCCTGAGTCGGGGAGACCTGCATCCATGCCAAATAGGACAGTTTACTTCCTTCAGGCCCTGCAGGAACCTTCTGGGGAATGCCTCTACAAGCTTGGAGGGGGAGGCACGTGGAGACTAGGCTCAGGATGACCACCCCCTGCCACTGCTGCCGACACCCCCTGCCCTCCTTCTTTGATCTGAGATCCAGACACTGCTCTCCCTACGTGCCCCATAGGACCCTCCCCAGGGCTCAGCAATCTCTCAAACCTACTTTTCTGGTCTCCCAGCTGCACACCAGCCCGTGACCCACCTGGAAGGCCTGGGAATTCAGCCATCCTCTCCTTCATGCTTCAGCCAGTGGCCCCCTCCCAACCCCAGCCTCCCTCAGACCATTAGTCTACTCCCACCTGCCCCAGAGGGAGCTTCCAGCTCTAAACGGGTCACCCCAGCTCAGTAACCATTCCTACCTCCCCACTTACAGGTTCTAGTCTCAGCCCTATCCTGGCATTCGGGACCTCTGCTATCACGCAGTCACCCAAACCTCCTTGCCAGGCTTGTTTTCCTTTAGATTTCTTCCCACTGCCCCCTAATACACAGGGACAGGCTCCTTTCACCTTGAAGGGCCTTGCCCTCCTCTCTGCTGGTCCATTCTCCCAGGCCTGACACTTCCAGCAGCTTCCATGACTCCCATTTGGCCTGTCTAGCACTGATATGACACCAGATCCTCTATCTGTTCCCTTCTATTCCCTGGGTGAGAGTCCACTTTCCCCAGCCAGACAGCAACACTCCCAGTGACACCCCAAGTGTGTCTTCTGCTCCCCAGCCTCCCTGACTGTTGCCACCATCAATCCCTTTGAGCCAGGAGGCCCTGCCCAGCCCCACCCTGGGCGGCTATACGTGGTGGGGGTACCAAGCCCGGGCAAGGTCAAAGGCCCCACCTGAAAGAAGGTCATGGTGGAGCCAGCATGGATGGTCCCATACTCAATGTTTGTCTGGTCGGCCAGGTCATCGGCTGACTCCACGGGCACCTCCATGCGCTGTACAGTGAGGAAGGCGGCCAGGTTGGCCGTGTAGGAGGAGATGATGATCAAGGTGAAGGCCCACCTGATGGGTAGAAAGAGTGAGCCATAGTCTGGAGCCACGCCTGCCACCCTCCCACTGTGGCCGTGCACCCTGTTGGTGGTGTCCCTCTCAATGACCTCGGCATCTAGAAGGCTCAGCGACTACTGACTTGTGAGAAGGCTGGAAGCACAGATGCTGGGGCCAGACTCTCTGGGTTTAATATTGCTTCCAGAGACCTCCACTTCCAGAAATCAGAGAATAAGATATCCTGAAAATACCCTTCTACCGTGAACAACTAGAAAACTGGACAGAATATAGAAAACTATTTAAAGACACAGGACAATAGGCATCACAGGGCTGTAATCCCTGAGGGGGAAAAAAAACAAAGCAATGAAGTGAGACGTATCATTGCCCAGGCTGTCTGGCTGAATGTAATTTATAGACTTCAGTGCCAGGAAGGGAAACCCAGTCTGGCCATCTCACTGAGTTGCAGAAGTGGCGATCAGAGAGGCCCACATGGCTAGAATTTGTGGGACAGAGAATCCAAGAAGAGGGAGCTGCACAGAGAGAGAGGGTTCCAGAAATCTACACAGAGTCCCTTTGAATCTTTGGCTGAATATAGATCTGGGTATGCATAGGGTGAAACTCCAAGAGACCAGAGAAGAACTGCTTTCAAAGACAACAACTAGGGGTGCCTGGGTGGCTTAGTCGGCTAAGCATCTGTCTGCAGTTCAGGTCATGATCCTAGAGACCTGGGATCAAGTCCCACATTGGGCTCCCTGCTCAGTGGGGAGTCTGCTTGTGCTCTCGCGCTCTCTCTCTGTCAAATAAATAAATAAAGTCTTAAACAAACAAAGACAACAATTCCCAAGGTTCACATAGGGCCAGGAATCTTTTGAGCTCTCTCCAGCCACAGTAGTGAGATCTCACTGAATACGTAAGACGTTCAGCAAAGACCCCAAAGGACAACACATTACAGAGTTAAGTCAGCCCTAGAATAAAGGCCACGCCAGACCTGCCCTCAAAAAGCTGAAAAACAGTCCTGGAGAGAATCAAAATTATCCACAAGAAACTTAACTGCCTGTCAGAGAAAGTCTGAGACTCTTTAAAATAATACATTCAACAATGTAAACAATGTAAACTTCATAATGTCTGTCATCCAATAAAAAACTACCAGATATTGGGCGCCTGGGTGGCGCAGCTGGTTAAGCGTCTGACTCTTGGTTTTAGCTCAGGTCTGATCTCAGGGTTGTGAGATCGTGCCTCATGTCAGGCTCTGTGCTCACCTCGGAGTCTGCTAAAGTTTCTCTCTCCCTCTCCCTCTGCCCCTCGTCACGCATTCTCTTTCAAATAAATAAATCTTAAAAAAAAAAAAAAGGTGCGGGAAACTGTGAAAGAAAAATCACTCAGTTGAAATAGACCCAGAATTGGCAGAATGATGGAATTAGCAGATGAGGGTATTAAATAGCTATTATAGATATATTCAGAATTCTCAAGGATATAAAGAAAAACTGGAATGCAATTAGAGAGAAATATAAAAAAGGAGCAAATAGAAAATCTAGAGATTAAATATACGACATCTGAATGGGGAATTTTACTGGAAGGGATTACATAGATCAGAAACTGCAGCAGAAAAGAACAGAGAATTGGAAGACAGCAATGAATCTATCCACATTGAAGCCAGAGAAGGGAAAAAGTGACTGAAAATGAGCACAAAGCCTGAGTGGCCTGAGGAAGAATATCAAGTGGTCTTTACCTATGTGATTGGAGTCCCATAAGGAGAGAAAAGAAGAGCATAACAGAAAAAAGTATTTGAAGAAGTAACGGTCAAAACTTTCTCAAATCTGATAAAAATTATAAACTGGCTGATCTAAGAAGCTCAATAAAACCTAAGTAGGATAAACACACATACACACAAAACACATCAAGTCACATTGTAATCAATCACTGAAAACCAGTGATAAGGAGAATATCTTTTTTTTTTTCTTTTTTAGAGAGGGAGTACATGAGCTGGGAGGTGGGCAGAGGGAGAGAGAGAATATTAAGCAGGCTCTGTGCTCAGCGTGGAGGCTGACGCAGGGCAGTCCCACTACACTGAGATCATGACCTGAGACAAAATCAAGAGTTAGATGCTTCACGGACTGAGCCACCCAGGGGCCCCTAAAGAATATCTTAAAAGCAGCCAGAACTCTCTCTTTCTCTCTCAAATAAATACATAAATCTTGAAAAAAAAAAGTATAAAACGGGTGCCTGGGCGGCACCATCTGGTAAGCATCCGACTTGGTTTTGGCTCAAGTCGTGATCTCAGGGTCATGAGATCGAGCCCCACATCAGGCTCCTCACTCAGTGCTGAGTCTGCTTAAGATTCTCTTCTCCTTCTGCCCCTCCCTCCTGTGCTCTCTTGCTCTCTCCCTCTCAAATAAATCTTGAAGAAAAAAAAGTGGGGCGCCTGGGTGACTCAGTCAGTTAAGTGTCTGTCTTCAGCTCAGGTCATAACCCCAGGGTCCTGGGATCGAGCTCCACATTGGGCTCCCTGCTCGGAGAGAAGCCTGCTTCTCCCCCTCCCTCTGCCTTCCACTCCCCGTTTGTGTGCACTCTCACTCTCTGTAAAAAAATAAATAAAATCTTAAAAAAATAAAATAAAATATTTAAAATAGCAGCCAAAGGGAAGGGAACATACATGAAGAATCAAAATAAGAGTGACAACAGACTTCTTGTCAGAGAGTCAGGAGACCACGCAACAATGTGCTGAAAGGGAAAAACAACCTGTCAATCTTGTATTCTATATCCATCAAAAAGATCCTCCAAAGAAGAAAACACACTAGCAAATTTTTCGTACAAACAAAAGCTGGGAGAATTAATTGCCAACAGATCAGCACTTCAAGAAATATTATGGGGGGGGTGGTCAGTGGAGCTGGCTGGCTCAGCTGGAGGAGCGTGCAACTCTCAATCTTGGATTGTGGGTTCTAGCCTCACACTGGGTGTGGAGATTACTTAAAAATAAAATCTCTTTTAAAAAATGAAAGAAATGTTATAGGAAGTTCTTCAGGCAAAAGGCAAATAATACTAAATGGAAATTTGGATGCACATGAAGCAATGAAGAACACCAGAAATAGTGGAAGTGTGGGTAAATGTAAGAGACATACTCCTCATTTAAAAAATCTCTTCACATTTTTAAAAAAAGATTTTGTTTTTAAGTAACCTCTACACCCATGTGGGGCTCAAACTCACAACCCTGAGATCAAGAGTTGCATGCTTCACTGACTAAGCCAGTCAGGCACCCCTAAAAAATCTCTTTTAAAAGACATTTATTGTGATGGAGGGCCTGGGTGGCTCAGTTGTTAAGCATCTGCCTTCGGCTCAGGTCATGATCCTAGGATCCTGGGATGGAGTCCCACATTGGGCTCCCTGCTCAGTGGGGAGTCTGCTTCTTCCTCTCCCTCTACCCCATGACTCGTGCTCTGTCTCTCTCTAATAAATAAAACCTTAAAAAAAATAAAAATTAAAGACATTTACTGCTTAAGCAAACACACACACATATAAACCTCATATGTCATGCAGTTTGAAAGATAAATAGAAGTAATACATATGATAAGAGTAGCTCAAAGGATGGGAGAGATGGAATACTGCTGTAAGGATCGTCACTCTTTTTTTAAGATTTTATTTATTTGACAGAGAGACACAGCGAGAGAGGGACCACAAGCAGGGGGAGTGGGAGAGGGAGAAGCAGGCTTCCCGCGGAGCAGGGAGCCCGATGTAGGGCTCCATGCCACGACCCCAGGATCATGACCTGAGCCGAAGGCAGACGCTTAACGACTAAGCCACCCGGGCACCCCAAGGATCTTCATCTTATGTGAAGTAGTAGAATGTTACTTAAAAGTATTTTGTAACAATTAAAGATGCATATTGTAAACCCAGAGCAAGCAACTATTGAGAAAAATTTTTTTAAAAGTTTGCTTAATAAGTCAATAGTGGACATGAAACAGAATTCTAAAAAATCTCAATAAGTCCAAAAGAAGGTAAGAAAAGAGTTGGGAAAGGGAGCCAAAAGAGATGGGACAAATTAAAAACAAGTAACAAGTTGACAGATTTAAACCCCACCATAACAGTAACTGCATTAAACGTAAATGATCTCAACCTGGGGTTGGCAAACGGCCCACAGGCCAAATCTGTCTTGCTGTCTCTTTTTGCACAGCCCACAGGCTAAGAATGGTTTTCACATTTTTAAACATTTAAAAAGAAATCGAAAGAAGAACAATACTTCATGACATGTGACATATAAAATTCAAATTTCGGTGTCAGTGTCCATAAATAAAATTTTATTGGAACACAGCCACACTCATTCACATATGTATCATCTCTGGCTGCTGAGTACGGGCAGAGCTGAGTAGTTGTGACAGAGACCGGGTGGTCAGCAAAGCCTAAAATATTTACTATCCGGCCCAATATCGAAAAAGTTTGCCAAACCCTGCTCCAAGGCCTAAGTCTATGCTGCCTATAAGAAACCCACTTTAAGGGCGCCTGGGTGGCTCCGTCAGTTAGGCATCTGCCTTCAGCTCAGGTCATGATCCTGGGGTCCTGGGATCAAGCCCTGAGTTGGGCTCCCTGCTCAGCGGGGAGTCTGCTTGAGATTCTCTCTCTGACCCTCCCCTGACTCACACACACACACTCTTGCTCTCTCTCTAAAATAAATAAATCTGAAAGCAAGCAAGCAAGCATGGTGGAGTGGCTATATTAATATCAAATAAAGGTAACTTCAGAGCAGGCATGTTACCAGGAATAAAGAGAGGCATTATATAATGACGAAGGAATCACTTCATCAAAACAACATAACAATCCTAAACATTTACTCCCCTAATTATAGAGCTTCAAAATTCATGAAGCAAAAACTGTTAGAACTGAAAAGATTTCTCCACAATTATGGGTGGAGATTTCAACACCCCTCTCCCAATAATTGATAGAACAAGCAGACGGAAAATCAGTATGGACAGAGAAGCCTGGAATAACACCGTCAACCTCCTGGCCCTAATTGCCATTTACGGCCCACTGCACCCACCAACAGCCGCACAGTGAGCATTTACCAGGACAGACCATACGCAGAGCCATAAAACAAGTCTCCATAAATTTTGAAGGATGAAAATCCTACAGAGAATGTTCCGACCACAGTGGAACTAAACAAGAAATCAATAATAGAAAGATCTCTGGAAAATCCCCAAATCCTGGGTCTCACTGCCTCGCCGTGTGACCTTGGACTCATCTGCGGTGCAAGTACAACGGCGGGCTGCCCCTCGCAGGGCACTTGTAAGAGTGTGAGCCACAGCTGGCATGGAATAAGAGCCGTACCAGTGGATGTGCTCACTGTCTTGGGGACTTGGGAGAAGAGGCACCTGCTGACCGCGCCACGGAGCCCAAGAGCAGCAGCTTGTCTTACCCTGACCCTCTCTGTCCTCCTGCCTGGCAGGTGAGAGTGGCCAGGCTCCCCGCAGACGATACAGATCTGTGGGGCATGAAGACAGTGGGGGAAGCTGGGAGGGCCTCCCAGACCACCCACTCCCAGGGTGGATCATCATGAAGACAGCAAGCAGCTAACCTTCGCTGAGCGCACATGCACAGCACCAAGTTAGACCCTGGGGTGGGGATGGAGTGGAGGACAGAGGGTTGAATAGACAAAACTATTCAGTGCCTGGTACAGAGGCAGGCACCACCTCGACCCAAAGGATACAGTGTGGCTGACCGGTGGTGGTGATTGCAGGGGAGGGGGGTGGGTGAGGTCACTCCTCGTGGGGACAGAGTGGGGGGACACAGAAGGGGGGGTCTGTCTTGGAAGCAACGATGTATGCTCTGTTTTGGACAAGTTGTTTTGGGGATGTCTGTTGGACATGCATGGGGAGGGTCTGGAGGGGAGGACTCGGTCAGTGTCAGTCTCGAAGCACAAGGGAAGCCCCCTGGGAGGTGTGTGAGGAAGACATTTGGTTAGGCATGGGGCACCCTGATGGCTCCTGGTGTCAGTGGATGGGGGCAGGTGTCCAGCAATGCAGCCCAGTCTAAACAACAGGGAAAATCCAGTACATGACTCTCTGAGCCTAACTCCTTGGTACATAAAAACTAACAATGTTTTTGCATGGTTATAACAGAAACCGAAGTTTCTAGAAACGCATCTGTTGTTCAGATTGAGGAACGACTGGATGTTGTGTCGGAAACTTTGCCAAGAACCCTTCACCGTTTGGAACTCAGGTCTCCAATGGCAGCCGTGCTCACGGTTTCTGAATCACCAAACCAAGACTCTTGGAAAAGTTGTACTAGGAAATCACCACGCTCATGGTGATTTGTATTTGTATCAACACACTCATTTACCAACCATTTTAAAGTGTCAAGTCTCAGGTGTAGACACAATTCTATTAAATGGTTTTACTTCTCCTCATTCCCAATGCACCTGTTCTAAGTCGGTGCAGCTGTCTGACCCCTGCTTCCTGTCATTCGGGAGAGCCCCTCCCAAGCATTGATGCATTGCTATCCTATTATTCTACCATAGATCACTTCCCTTTCTCTCCCTTGTATTGCAATCAGGGCATGTTACCGATTTGTTTTTAATCATGTGTAGGCAGGTGTGTAAGGAGATATATTACCCTTGAATTTCATCAGGGTGGGAAAGCAGATGTTAGAATATACTTGTCACAAAACATTTGTCGCAAAACAAAAGCGCTGGGTCTTCAGGCACTGACACATCACCCATGTGGAGGGAGGAGCTCAAGTGAGAGAAGGCAAAGGGCAGTCACCCGCTGGTGCAAGGAAACAGGGTCCAAAGAGGAAGGACGGAACCAGAAGGCCACAAGAGCCTGGAAGCCAGGAGTTTCTAGAAGGAAGGTAGCTAATAACATGTATTGGACACATTGTAAAGGGGTCCCCAGTGACCCGGGGGAGGGGGAGGGGGAGGAGCAGCCAGGCTAAGGACTAGATCTGAGGTTGCCGGGAGGACTCAGAGGACCTGAGGAGGAGTTGAGGATGATGGCAAAACAGTGGCTGAAGGCATGTCCTAGGAGCCTACCTGAGGTGGATGGACCAGAAAGCAGGCAGGTTTCAGAAAGCAGGAAAGAGGGAGGTGCAAGGAGTACAGGAGGGCCTGGGGGCGGGGGAGGGGCAGGGAGGGCGGGGCTGCGGTCAGGCAGAACCTCAAAAGCATTGACTTGGAGGCGGGTCTGTCCTGAATGCTGCCGAGCCCTTGGGTCCGGCTGTAGGGGGCTGTGGCCCCAATGGGCCCTGAAGACGAAGGGTCCAGGAGGCAAGTTTGGGCCCCACTGGCAGCCAAGTCCCCTAGGCTAGTGGCATTGGACTGCTGTGTCATTATGCTGGGGACCCAGTTAGAGACTAGGAAACATCTGTTGAGACCTCCACTGACCGAGTTACCGAGTAAACGTGTGGAAGGACTTTGGGTGGAGAAGAGAGTGAGCTTGGGGTCAAAGTCCAGTGGGGTGGGTGTGACTGGAGGCTTCCAGGGTGATGGTGATGGGTACAGGCAGAGAATGCCCGGCAGGGGAAGGGGTCCCTGACGGAGGAGCAGAGGGGACGGTCCACAAAGAGGAGGTCACCAGTCAGCCACCTGACCTGAGGACTTGGCCAGATTTGTCACAGCAGGGCCACGTGCCTCCATAGACTGTCTGGAATGCTCCTCCATCTCCTGGGCCTGGACGCCTCTATTTTAGCCTTTAGCACTCAGCCTAGACGTCATCTTCTCAAGGAGGCTTCCCTGAGCGCCCACACTCCCTACTGTTCTCTCCTGCGTGCCCTGTTTGCCTTAATTGCCACTGGGGTATGTGGTAGGCAGAAGGACCCCTGCCCCCAGAAATGTCTCCATCCGAAGCCCTGCAACTCATGAGTACGTCCCCTTACAGGGTAAAGGGGCCTTTGCAGATATGATGAAGTTAAGGAATTTGAGATGGGGAGATTATCCCTGATTATCTGGGTGGGCCCAGTGGTATCACAAGGGTCCTTATAAGTGGAAGGAGGAGGTCAGAGCCCGAGAAAGCGGCCATAAGCCGAGGAATGCAGGTGGCTTCTAGATGCTAGAAAAGTCAGGCAAACAGATCCTCCCCTAGAGCCTCCAGAAGGAGCCAGCACTGCCCCCACCTGGACTTGAGCCCAGTGAGATTTTGGCTTTCTGACTTCCAGACCTGTAAGAGACTACATTTATGTTGCTTTAAGCCAGTAAACCTGTCTTACTTGTTGCAGCAGCAATAGGAGACTGATACAAGGAACGTGACACTTGGAACGATGCCAGTCCCGAGATGTTAAAAAAAAAATGTCATCAAGGGGCGCCTGGGTGGCTCAGTCATTAAGCGTCTGCCTTCGGCTCAGGTCATGATCCCGGGGTCCTGGGATCGAGCCCCGCATCAGGCTCCCTGCTCGGCAGGAAGCCTGCTTCTCCCTCTCCCACTCCCCCTGCTTGTGGTCCCTCTCTTGCTGTGTCTCTCTGTCAAATAAATAAAATCTTTAAAAAAAAAATGTCATCAAGACTCAAAAGGTGCAAAGCCAGTGGACCAAGCGAAATGCCAACAACTTGCTCTATGGCAGTCAATCCCACTTAGTGGGCAGAGCAAAACCTGTCACCCACTCTACGTTAGTCTTGAATGGGTTTTGAATTGGACACTGTCTTTGGGCTTTATCTATTCTTGGGATCAAATAGGATGTTCCTGTGTTTATCTGTTTAGCTCTTTCTGCTCGGCTTGTCTGCCTCTTGAGGCTGGATTCTTCACCTGAGTGCCTGGCACCAGGAGGGGCTTGAGAAGGTTCTGCTGCCTGGCTGTTGAAGCATGAATTCTCAGGGATAGGGATGAGGTGAGGAAGAAATGCTTTTCAGGAAGGGCCCAGGGAGCAGGGCAGGGCTCGGGCGGCACTAGAGCGAGTGGCCTGGGGGGTGCCTGGTCTCAGTGCTCTAATGCATGAACCCGGGAGAATGCCGGCTCATCTGGCACTACCGGAGCCCCCGAATTTTTTTTTTTAAAGATTTTATTTATTTATTTGAGACAGAGAGAATGAGAGAGACAGGGAGCACATGAGAGGGGGGAGGGTCAGAGAGAGAAGCAGACTCCCTGCTGAGCAGGGAGCCCGATGTGGGACTTGATCCAGAGACTCCAGGATCATGACCTGAGCCGAAGGCAGTCGCCCAACCAACTGAGCCACCCAGGCGCCCCAAGCCCCCAAATTTTCAAGAAGAGTGAGAAATCTGGATTTGTGAGTGAATTTGCCCAATTTTTAAATGCTAATTCAAAATTCTAAAAAAGTGGTGGGCCAAACAGACATGAGTTGACGGTGTCTGCTCTCCGACATGTGGCTTCTTGGAGCTCGGGGATAAAGTACGCTCTGTCCGAGTTACTGGGGTCCCCAGGGGACTTGAGGGAGCAGGTGTCCCTGGACAATGAAGGCTGCCCCAGGTCTCCGTGACCGCCAGGGCGCATGCAAGCCAGGAACAGCCATGCTTATGCCGTTCCAGGTACAATTCTTATGTCAGCAGAAGCACTTTTGCATAACATCCCAGCTGAATCCTTACAACCTGAGACATGGGCATTTTTATCCCCATTTTTCAGGTGAGGAGACTGAGGCATGGAGAGGGGGTGTGGCCTACCCAAGGTCACACAGCTAGCAGGGGGCAGAGCTGGGGCTCAGCTCTCCCCACCCCATTCCCTGTCACACAGCTGACGGAGTTGGGAACCGGAATCCACCCAGGCCTCAGAAGGGGCCCTCCCCACCCAGGGTGGGACAGTCAGAAGGCCGCTCACCAGACTCCACTGACGCAGCGCGTGGACAGCGCCCGGGGCATGATCTCCGAGCCCTGCTGCATGAAGCCCCCCACGGGGAACCAGAGGCTGTTGCCCAGCGTGTACTGGTTCTCCAGGATGTGGGGGCGCGCCCGCAGACACGGGTGGGGGTTATACCACTCATAGGGGCTCAGCCTGTGGAGAGACATGTGAGTGAGGGGCGGATAGAGCCACGGTAGAGAGAAAAAGGAGAGACACGGGGGAAAGAGACAGAGACACCAGGATGAGAAGAGATGGGGGACCAGTTAGGAAAAGGAGGGAAAAGAGAGAAGAGATGAGCAGAAAGAGACGCACACAGAGAGATGAGGTAGAAAGAAACACAGAGGCTGAGAGACACACACACAAAGACACACAGAAAAGGCAGAAAGAAATGCACAGAGAGATACAGAGAGAGAAACAGAGGAAGACAGAGAGAGTGGGAAGGGGACAGGCCCAGAGAAAGAACCGCAGAGCAAAAGTCAGAGCCACAGGGTGAGACAGGGCACACAGACTGGGAGAGAGGGACATAGGAGGGCCTGGGAACCCGAGGCCCGGCATGGAGGCCAGGACAGAATGTGTGGGTCGGTCACAGATGCCCCAACCCGTGCCTGTTCCTGGGCAGCAGGCAGTGGACTCACCTTGCGGCCAGGAACAGGACGCAGCTGACGGCCAGGTAGGCGAGAAGCATGAAGAGCCACACAGCAGGGGAGAAGGGGTCCAGGAAGGAGAAGTAGCCAGGCTTGCGACCCTGTGGGGAGAGGGCGTGAGGCCCGGAGCCACCCTGACCTGCATGCATCCCCAACCCCTGCCCCGCCAGGCGCCCACAAGCCCGAGTGGCCCATCGCGGTCCAGCCTGCAGCCTCTGCTTCCCTTGGGGACACAGGCATGAGCCCCACCACCAGCCCCTGCCCCACAGCCTCCACATGTTCAGGGGAGTCGTACCATATGCACTCGGTAGAGGATGCTGATCCCCAGGGTCATGAAGGGTTTGGAGAAGTCGATGACCTTCTCCCGCTCGGCCGTGATGGTGAATGCCGCCACTGCCAGGTCCGCCTTCTGCTGGAGGGGAAGCGGGGGGGGGGGAGCGGGACGGGCCAGGGAGACAGACGGGCAGTTAGGGAGACTCGCACAGAGAGAGCTCCTGAGCGGCCAGCAAAGAGAAAGGAGGGGGACCGAAGGGGCCAGGAGCCCGCACTCGCTCCAGAATGACACCTTGGGCCCAGAATCGGGCCCCTGTCATCTCACATCTGCTGGACGAGGCTCCTGTGGTCCTTCCCTGCCCAGCCGCCCCTCCTCATCCTGTCAAGTTCATTGTGAAGGCCCTGCTTTATAAATCCCCCCACGGACCTGCATAGCTCCCACCTTCCCTGCCACCAGGTCGTGGGGAGAGCCTGAGGTGGGCGCGGAGATGCCAGGACGCTGACCCACTCAGGGCTCTCTTCAGGCCTTGGTATCCTCTTCTATCTTGACGGCTCACGACATGGAGCATTTACTACGCACGGACTTTGCCCCAGGCTCTACACTAGGGAACACTTTCTATGGATTACCTTGAATCCTCCTTCCAACAGCTCACGGAGGGCCACTACTAGCCCCGTTTTATAGATGGAGAAACTGAGTCTCGGAGAGGCAAAGGCACTCATCAGTAAAGCCGGAGCTAGGGGACTGTAACGCAGAGATGGGACCTTGACTCCCCTGCCACCGGTAGGCCCTGGGGACGTACACATGTGCATAGACACCCCCCAGACACAGGACTGGTGCCCAGCTCAACCGAGAGAATGACCTCGGGGGGAGCTGCACGTGGTCTCAAGTGGGGGAGGAGTGCCTGGGGTCCAGGTCTAAGGTGGTGAGGGTGGGGAGCAGGTGGGGTGGGACAGAGAGAAGGGTTTGGGTTAGTGTCTGCCAGGCATACCCAGAATCCCTCATCCAAAAGGATCATTTCGCTCCAGCTCAAGTGGACTTAGCTGGCCTTGAGCTGTGGGCCAGACAGAAGATGGGGAAAAAGCCAGCACTTTGCACACCGTTCCTGCCACACACGGCACACGTGGGCACTGTATCAGGTCCCATGTATGCCACTGCTGACTTGAGCTCACCACGCCACACCCACACACATGTGCTAAGACACAGGCTGGCCCAGTGATGTACCAGGCATATGGGCGCAGGCAGACAGACTCATGCCCTGGACACAGCGTAGGGAGGAGTGGAGACACATGGGGGAGGGGTGTTCCCTCGAGGCACGTGCATGACCGAGCAGGCAGGACAGGTCAAGGCACTAGAAAGGGCCTGGGGCGGGAATGGGGAGCTCCGACTCTGCCCTGAGTTCGCTGGGTGACCTCGGGCAGGGGTTTCCACGTCTCTGGGCCTCAGTTTGCTCATCTGCAAAATGGGGATGGGGGTTGGGCAAGATGTCTCACACAGTTCTCCTGGTCCTGGCGTTGGAACCTGGCTCCCAGGAGACCCCTTCCAGGCATATTGACTATCCCCCAGGCCTCTACCAGACCCCAGAAATGACTCCAAATTCAAGCAGAGACGACCCGTAGGGCTGAAATAAGAGTAGAGGTCCTGGGGGCGCCTGGGTGGCTCACGAGGTTAAGCATTTGCCTTCGTGATCCCAGGGTCCTGGGATCGAGCCCCATGTCTGGCTCCTGGCTCAGCGGGGAGCCTGCTTCTCCCTCTGCCTCTCCCACTGCTCGTGCTCTCTCTCTCTCTCTCTGTATCTCTGTGTCTCGAATGAATAAATAAAATCTTTAAAAAAAAAAAAAAAGTAGAGGTCCTGGCTCACCAGCCTGGGAGGAGACACACACTCACAGGGAAGCGGCTGAGACAGAGCACACGGGGTAATACAGGTGTGGACAGAACTGGGGCACGGGTCAAACAGCTACCATGGGGTGAGGGACACGGCACCAGCCCCAGTGTGACTTGAGCACAGAGAGCGGGCATAGCCCCAAAGCAAAATCCAGAGGCGGCAAACTGCGGCATGGGCCCAAAACGTGGCTGGCTTTGGGGCCTACCCTTGCGAATTCCCGGGTGGTGAGAGTAAGGAGCATCTTGCCCCTTCTTATGCACTTGCTACTCTTATGCCTAATATGTGAACTGCCAGGAACGACATCAGCTAATACAGGAATCCTATTACTTCGATGCACCCACAGGAGGTGCGCCCCGGGGAAGGCCTTCCATGGGGGCCTGAGTCTCCCCTTCAGAAAGCAGGAGGCAGTGGCTTTGCAATCGGGGCTCAGGGGGGCGCTGCAGGTCCCTAGGCCCAGTGCCAGGAGCCCACTTCCTCCCTAAAGGGCTCCCGGCCCCTTTCTGTTCCCTCCCTTGCTCTGCTCCCTGGCCTCCTCCCCCACTCTAGACACCTGGCCTTGGGCCAGCACCTAGGCCTAACCCACTTCTTCCCTTTCCCGAATTCTTCACATCTCCTCCAGTAGCAAGGGCAGTAGCTCTGCTAACAAAACACAACTCAGATCTGTCCACTTCTGTCCATCCGCCCGTCCAGGCCCTGACCATCAGAGTCTCTCTCCTGACAACAGCATCAGCCACCTCACCGGCCCCCCCAGCCACTACTCAGAACCCCACAGTCCAAAGGGAAAGTCCCCTGCTAAAAACCCCTGGGTGGCTTTGCACTGCACCTACAGCAAATCCCTTTCCCAGCCAAGAGGCCCTAGGTGATCTGAGACCCACCTGCCTGCTGGCCTCGCCTCATGCCCTTTTCCCTCAACCACTCGGCTCCAGCCACAGTGGCTGTCTTTTGCTCTTCAACACGGCAGGCTCATCCCCCACCCCAGGGCCTTTGCATGTGCTCCTCCATAGCTCTGCCTCACCATTCGAGGCTTAACTCACACTTCACTCCTTCAGCCCTCCCCACGGCGGCCTCCAGACCCCACTTACCCCGACCCCAGGGTCCTCTCTCTCGTATTACCCATTACCCTGTTTCATATCCTGCTTTGTGCCTACTAGAGATGACCCTGCTTGTTTGCTTATTAATGGACTAGCTTTCCTACTAAATTACCAGTTCCCTGCCTATCTGGTTAGAGGTGCACCCCAGAAGCTACACAGGGGCTCCTAACAAACACTGCTGGATTTTGACCAAGCTTGGCCTCTCTGAACGGCTCCCAGGGCTGCCACCGTTCCCCACCATATTCCTGGGCCTCAAGCCGTCTCACCCAGCTGTTTTCTGGCCTCCGTATCACTGAACACGGCCTTTGCCCGGGGCGTCCTACTCTGCCCTGCAGAACTGGATCCCACCCACCCCCTACAGGGTCCCTTGCACCCTCCATCCTCTGTGGCACCTTCTCTGGACCCCCCAGTCTCGACACCCCTGGATCTACCACGGCATTTAGCTCAGTTTGGAAAACATCTGTTTGCTTCTCTGCCTCCACAACGAAACCTGCAAAAGCAGGGCCAACTGGATGCATTGTGTCTCCTCTGCTGAAGAACCAGGAATGTCCCCCCTCCTCCGGGGGCCTCCCAGAGTGTCCCGGACAGAGAAAGGTCTCCTTCCCTGTGCCTCACGGAACCTCGCATGGGTGCAGAGGCTCACCCTCACACAGCATGTACGTACCTTGTGGCCACCATTTCAGGGTCCCCCCCCACCCAGAGTAGCTCACGTAGTCCCCAGAGCGACCCTGTCCGAGGGACCATCCTTCCCACCATTTCACACGTGAAGAAATGGAGGCACAGTGAAGGTAAGCCCCTGGCTTCTAGCTGACCTTGGGATTCAGAACCAGTCCCCCTCTAGGGGTTTCGTCTGTCCACTGTCCCCACCCTCCATGGCCGGGGGCATTGGAGGTCAGGTTTCAGGTGTGTGACTCCTCCCTGGTCCCCGGGAGCCCGGGAGATGGGCGCTTTGCACATGACTAGAGTGAACGGGTCCTTGAACTCCTCGTCAACACACAGCAAACTCAGCCCCGAACCCATCCCCCAGGGTCATCCCAGGCGGAAGCCTCCACCCCCTCCCCAGCGTCGTCCTTGACATCCCTCTTCCCCTCACCGCTTCCATTCTCAAGCTCTCCTGATTCTGCTCCCCAAATGCCTCTGGAATCGATCGCCTCCTCCACCTTCGCTGCCCTGCTCCTGCCCCAATCACCATGTCTCAGGACTGGAAAGCTCAGCCAGTCGCCAGAGGGACCCCAGAAACAACAGCCTCGGTCACAGCAGCTCTGCTTAAACCCGGCAACAACTCCCACTCTCCTTACACTGTCATCCATATTCCTCACCCGGCCCCCAGAGGCCCCTCCCTGCCCAGCCCCCAGCCCACTGCCACATACTGAACGTTTGTGTCCCCCCTACAAACTCATCTGCTGAAACCTTAACCCCTAACGTGACGGTATTAGGAGGTGGGCCTTTGGGAGGCGAGGAGGTCATGAGGGTGGAGGCTCATGAATGGGATTTAGTGCCCTTATGCTGTTCTATCCACAAAGCTCCCTCGCCCCCTCCACCACATGAAGCACAGCAAGATGGCTGTCTATGAACCAGGAAGAGGCCCCTCACCAGACACCCAATCTGCTGGCACCTTGATCTTGGACTTCTCAGCCTCCCGAACTGTGAGAAATAAATTTCTGTTGTTCATCAGCGCCCCCAGTCTGCGGTATTCTGCTACAGAAGCACAAACAGACTAACACACCCACCACCTTGCCCTGCATTCCCCTGTTGCAGTCACTCTGCCCATTCTGTCTGTCCATCAACCCATTTACCTACTTGACAAATATTAGCGGAACACCCACCACCGAAGGAGCCCATGGTTCTAGCTTTGGGAATCCAGCGTTGAAGATAAACATATAATGGTGGGTGGTGACAAGTGCTATGAAGAAAAATAAGGCAAGGCAAGGGGATCGAGACTAGTTTGGACGTACTCCCCGCTGCAGGGAGGTCTTGAGAACAAATGTGAAGGAAGTGTGGAGCAAAGGAAGGGGGCTGGATTCTACTCCCAGGACAACAGAGAACGTCACATCGGAGGGTGTGAACGGGGGGTGACGTGATCTGGCCACCATGGGAACAGACCACAGGGGCAAGAGTGAAAGCAGGGGTCTTGGGGACCAAATGAAGTCCATGGGAATAAC